ACTAGGTGCGTTACTCTAAGTCTTCCTACCAATATGACCATGTTGCGAAAACAAGGTCAAACAACCTCTAAGGATGGTAGAGTTTAAAACATCCGCGTAACTGCCAACAGACAGCACAGTTCAGGATGCAACAAACTATCTGCCTTTGTACATACAGTCTTACCTGCAGAAAAAATCAGTTAAAGAAGCGATACGCATAAACAATTTTGCAATACTAAAAACAAGATAGTGAAACTATAGACAGTTCTTTAAAAAAAGTATATACGGAATTTCCCGAACTGAGGCCAATGCATGCGGAGAAAATGCAAGAAAATTTAAGATCAGAAACAATTTGAGTACTTAATAAAAACATCAGAATAATTGGATGAAGAAAATTTTAGATGAGTTTCAATTAGATTTTTCCCAACACATTTATAAGCATGGTCAAAAGCAACTTTATCAGCAAACAAGAAATGCAGAAGATAGGAACAGCGCTATAGGATCACCCCAGTAGTTAGAATAATAGGGGTCGAAAAGAATACGTGCTTAAGGTTGTACGAGCATGACGCAAATTTGAGTTCATGTATGGGGGTCAGACAAGATTAAAACCGGAAACCAGTCTGGCCTGAAAAAAAAGAACCTTAGTGATGTAAATAAGAGGAAAGTTCATGCACAAATCCAAGGCTCAATTGAACGAGAGAACAATAAATGGCAAGATCGTTGACAGTTTCAGGTTAACTCGTAAATATAACGACCAAGATGGTGTAGGCTTAGGGCTTGGTCCCCGTCTCCCTTAACTATAATGTTGGTTTGATGTGATTTTCATAACTTGGTTGGAGAAAGGGAGGACTTGTGGAATATACTTAGTCTAGCTTTGGCTGCCATAGTACTCAATAATTTCCAGTATCGTACATTCCAATACGTCGGCATTACAGTTGATGCTCATTGACGACGCAGGTGAAAGGTCGAGAAATTTATTAAGTAAAATTTAGCTTCATGTCGTAACACATTCGGGTAGGATGCAATCCAACCCAAACGAAATTAAATAAACAAGCTTGACTAGCGTTGCTAAAATCAAGGAAAAATTCAAATAATAAACATAAAGAGGGTGAGTAAATACGCATTAATCAGATATCTGTTTTTTCCAAAACAATGGGAAAATTAATAGACATAGATGAACTCACATGATCTCTGAACGCATCCACTATGAATTGTAGATGCTCCGGAGGAACTGACTCCACGCATTTTTGTACAACGTGGTTTCCATTTTGATCCTTCACACATTTAATAACACAACCATCCAGCTCTTGTACGATTGCAATCTGCATGTCGAGAGGGACTGATTCCACAGCCTTTTGAATTACTCGACAGCCGTACATTTGAAGAGACAAAGCAAGAACTTGACCTTTGATGCGTTGGCCAAGGATCTGAAAAGAATGAGCTGCCATTAGCGAGATGAATGAGTAGGCGATAATTTTAAGCTTTCAAAACTTACCTGTTTCTGCTCTGGAGTGCCAAGCTCGAAGAACTTCTGTATAACATAATTGCCGAAGACGTCGACCATAAGATCATAAGCATGTGAAAGGATTTCACGAAATACCGCTGTCTTATCGACAGCACTGGCTTGCTCCAGCTTCTGTTGTATAAAACGAGAACCATATTGGTCCTGAGCAAACTCAACGATATAGTTTGAGACATCACGTAAGCTGAGGTTTGGGAGCCTGGCATTCCTGAAAAGGTCAGACAAAAATTAAAAGGCTTGATAATTATAGCCGTTAGACTGGAATGCCACTTAGTTATACGTAAAATTAAATTAGTGATACCAATTACAATAAATATTAGTGGTTTGATCTAGTTTTCGCGAGGAAAAAAGACCGCGACAATACTAAAGGCTACGATACCTTGGTCTCCATACCCTATACAAAGTTTTAAGGTTTATGGAGAAATAAATTTCCAGCTTTGCAAGGTTTGGGCAAACAAATAAGATGGAAAAGGTTATTCTTGTCATATAACGTGTCATATATACCAACAAATAAAAATAATGCTACAGTCTTAAATCATCCTCATTAGAGTCCTTAGGTTATAGTCTAAGTAATAAAAATAACGATTTGCAAAAATGTAGTGATCGACAATATCAGTTGAGCGCCATTACGTGACCCTAAAGACATGTCACACGTAGACTATTAATGATCCACAAACCCCAATTTACAAAAACTGGCTTCGAACCTGGCCAACTCGAACAATTGCATTCTCCCCAGATGGACCTGAGCCTTATACTGAATCCATCCGATTTCGCTCCATGATGCAAAGTTGAGTCAACTGTCCGACACCATTCAAGAACGTCCTTTACATCCCGTAAAGTATTTAGTAAGAAGAACCTCTAACTGGATCGATCTCCCAACGGCACATTCATCCCTGAGGAAAAACGTTAGTTAGCGTGCACTCTCAATCTACCCCAATGTCACCTTCCCAGACTCACGCAGTAGCGTCTAATATCAACGAATCACCCGTAAAAAATACTGACACACGGCTATCCAAAGACCAGGATGTTTTCCGCGTCATTATCCCTAGCTAACCCTTGCTTGCCTAAAGGGTAATTCCATGAAGGGACTTTTATGAACCGACTTCGAATCAATTCCACGTATTTACGTTTCGGCATATGATCATAGTGTCTCCGC